CTCAAGTAGCTCATCTAGTAACATTTTTGCATATCTTTGCATTAGTAATAAACACCATTTGTACGCCTGATGCTATTGTACGGCCCGATAGTTCTCCAAAGAGCTAGTACTCTTATTTTATATATTACATTATGTCAAATTCTAAGAAGGCATTAACATGGCAAAATGTTACCACCTTTCATTACTTACAATAGCTCACAATATCATTAGTTCAATCTTAAGTCCAGTTTTGAATTTCTGATGTAGATGATTTTGAAAAAAAGGTCAATTTGAATCAAGTTGAAAAATACCTTTCTTGACCTTGAGAAAGTCAATGAAGGTTAAATCTCAAATCTAAAGTCAGATATAAACTAGATTCCATGTAGCTTACAAATGGAGATCTATGAATAACGTTAACTAGCGAGGAATAATACACCAACGATTTAAATGTTTTAATACCAATTAATTATCATGAGCATGAATTACATTCACTTCTAATTTAAATGAAAATTATTAAGATTTTGTGAGAATTTAAAAGGGAGGGAAAAAATTTTGGAATCAAAAGCTCTTGTAAATTTGCAGTGTGCTTTGACTTGTGAATCGTTTCTAACCATCACCAATTCTGCAACGGTATTAAAGCGATAAAGTCTAATAGAGTCCAAGATTATGTCTCAAGTAAAGGCGATCCCCATTTGAATATTACTACTAAAATGGTATAGTTCAAGCAATCTAATAACAGTTATGGCCCTCTGTAGGATGGAATACAGTGTAGTTGTGCAATAAATACTATACTATACTATTCTATATAGACAAAGGTAATGACTAAAATAGCCTTACCTTCAGATGAACTCAATAGATACTTTCTTATCACATTCATACATTAAAAACATAATTCCATATCTTGAGAATTATGTTAACATCAGGGTGTCCAAGGCTTTAGATGATGTCCAATAGATAAACTAAGCATAGTTGAGAATTGTTAATATCCTTATTCTTAATGATAGGCATTTTGTATCACGCTCGTCTCATGCGCTGAAAAATAATACCGTACATTAAAACATAATTATCAAACGGACGACTGACCAAGATGAAGTTTGACGACGGTTTGAGCTTAATGGGGGGATTTGGACGGTATCAAAGTTTAGTAATGATAGTATGGAATACCTTCTACGCTGGAAACGCATGGCAATATATTCTTACTATATTTATTGCTGGGAGAATGAACCACTGGTGCAAAGTACCCGAGTTGCAGCACTTGAACGGAACCATGCAGAAGTTGATTGCTATTCCCAAGACGACTGGTCCATTGGGCGATACGGTATACAAACAATGTAGTATGTTCAACTATAACTACAGCGCTATCAACTTCACAGATTCTAATATAATCGACTCGTGGATGGCCAATGGGACAGCTACTGAAATCACTTGTAATAGTGGATGGATGTTTGATAAATCTGTGAGGGAATCAACAGCTGTCAGCGAGTTTGGACTTATTTGTGAAAATGATTGGATGTATACACTTCCGGCCACTTTTCAAATGCTCGGACTTCTGTTTGGAGCATTCATTTCTGGGCTAATTTCAGACAGGTTTGGAAGAAAACCAACAACAATTGGCATGATGATATGTGCAATGGGAGCCATCGTGGGTGGCTCATTCTCAACAAACTTCATTCTGTTTCTTGCAATGCGTTTTCTGTCCACGTTGACGTCTATTGGAGCATTTACCGCGCTTTGGGTCCTGACTCTCGAGATGATGACACCCGTACACCGAACGCACGCCACCATTTTAAGCGCCGTACTGCGCATTCTCCGAGCGTCGTTGACGCTCGCTGCGTTCTACGTAAGAGGTCATAAATGGCTTCAGATTATATCTGCGTTGGTCACTATACCTGGACTTATCGGCGTGTTTTTCCTATCGGAATCACCTCGATGGTTAATCGCAAGAGGACGCTATCGAGAAGCAGAAGCTATAAGTCGAAGAATTGCAAAAATAAACAAAGTTACGCTTCCCGATGATTTTACGTTAGCCGATGACGTGTCAACAAAAGGTGAGTCCGGAAGTGAAGCACTTGCAAAGAAAGTATCAGTCTTTGACTTATTCCGTACTCCAAACATAAGGAAGAGGACCTTGTTGATCTGGGCTCAATGGTTTGCTGTTGTATTTGGCGCTTACGCTATGGCACTAAACGTTGGTACGTTGATACCCGGGGACATTTATCTGAACAATTTCATTGTCAATGCACTCGGCGACAGCATTTCCCCGTTAATTATGCTGGTTGTGTTATTCAAAATGGGCAGGAAAACTGTCATAATTTCGTTCTTCTTCGTAAACGGTATTTTGGCTTTAGCGATGATTGGACTATTGCAGACAAAGATCATGGCGTTGACCACGACAGCGGCCCTTTGCGGATCTATACTCATAAACATTGTATTTAGAGTGCTTTATCTGTACAGTGGGGAAATATTCCCTACACCAGCCAGAAATGTCGGTCTTGGAAGTGGCTCTAGTTTTGGCAGAATAGGAGGGCTCATTAGTCCAATAATTCCTTTACTTGGAAACATTTGGTATGGTTTACCATACATTACCTTGGGGGTATTTCCTTTGATTGCGGGCGCGCTGGCTTTCCTTCTTCCCGAAACAAAGGCTAAACGCCTTCCGGAGACATTTGAAGAGGCAGAACTATTCGGCACTGGAAAGATGGATGACAGCAGAGATAGTGATCGTGAAATAGGCACAACAGGCGGAATCAGCTTCATAAACTTACCGGGTGATGGAATGAGGAAAGAGGGTCTAGATAATCATGTCAACACTATGGGGAAAGATGCGTTGGAGAATTGTGTAACACATAGAAAACAGAAAATAACTGACGAGGGTTTAGACAACGCCGCTTTGGATTTGACTATGCTATAAATATATCACTTATCATATCAAACACGAATTTCACCAATAACATTGGTAATCACCTAGAATTTGACAATAATTTGGCTCAAACTTAAGGAAGATAGTCTAGTTTGAGAATATGCAGGCTGTTTCTATGTTTGGTATATTAACGAAGACGCAATTCACATATTTAGTCCCTCGCATTTGTTACGTCGATGATCTTCATGAATATTGGCACATTGGCAATATTCATTATCTTCCTTAACTTTGAGCTAAATTGTTGTCAACAACTTGACTTTAAAGTAGTGTAGAATCGAGAAATAAAAATATCTTACCAAAAACGAAGCCCGGACGTTCTTCCATCCTTTTACGCTGACGTATCGTCGGCGTAACTAGGTGAGTACCAGTGAATAAGACAAATAATTTACAAATAAGAAAAGCGTTGTAATTTGATCGTCAAACACTGCAATGGGTAGTGCTTTAATGTTTGCGAAAATAACTTTATTACTCGCATATTCTAACACCCAGGTCTCCCATTTTACAACACCAGTCTTCATGAATTTTACAGTGATTAGTATTGTTGAAAAATAAATGACAAAAACAGAAATACAAACGAAATGTCATGTTTTTAGGACTATACAATAACTATATCAATTAGACGTACACGTATGAATCAAGCACGAATCCTGACGCCTGTCCATGGATTCGTACTAACAGGATTGTACATTGAGTTTGAGATCCACTATGTAAAATGCACAATGGAGACGTTTAAAGATGTCGCCAACGACACAACGTGCGTAATTAATAGCACATAAGATCAAACATCGGACATAAACGATTTAGCTTCCACGACATAATTAAATTGAAATGAGCACGTAGGTTATCGCAAACAATTTCAAACGATTCTTACTTGAATTATGAATATTTTCTGATCATGAACATGGGTGAATCTTTTAGATCCATTCATTATCTTCAAGAAAAGTATATATAATGATAATTTAGTTAATCAGACCTAAGTCATATTGAAGAGGCAATATACCAATCAACACACTTTTTCAAAAATGTTGACTTAATTTTCACCAAAAAGCAACCTTTTATGATATTGTTGAATGCATAGTAGAATGTGCTTTGAGACATGTTCGATTTCCTAAAAGGAAAAGTTAATTGCTCCAGGGACTTTAAAGATACTGAATTTGGATGACCAAAATGAACTGAAACCAATGGATAGCATGATCTTTTTCAATGGAGAAATAACATGGGGAACACTTATCTTAAAGCAATTGAGTTTTTCTTTCAATAACTATTTTATACATCAAAATAAAAAATAGTAATGCATTTAACATTGCAAAACTAATTGCATTTTTGGTGAAAATGGGGTCAACTTCTTTGAAAAAAGTGTGTTGACTGGTTGATTGCTAGTTAAATTTCTCCGAGTTTGTTTGACTTTATTATTACTGTACATAATTTTCTTTGAGATAATGAATTGATCTAAAAGATAAACCTGTCTTCACTGTCAGAAAATAGTCATATTCCAAGATATAACCTTCTGAAATTGTTTGCGATAACCTACGTACTCCTTTGAAATATCCCCAAAATATTACAAGATCCAGAACGATATGTGTGTAAGATGTAAATCTGGCACTACTATCTATGAACATTTATCTTGGCCATAGCATTGCACATCATATTGAACAGTCAGAATTGCTGCCATAGATTCCGTTGCCACCGATTCACAAACGACATGCAAGGTTTCATTCACAGAGGTGATTTAGTATACCCTCTCTTCATTAACATACAAACGTAAAGAATTTTATATTCTTTTGTAGTTTTAATCAACCTAAAAAATTTATAACATATTCATTACCAAAGTTTAATTATTTTGTTCTAATTTTCACGTCGTATATTATCTTATATTGAATAAAATGTGATGTATACAACTTGTGACTTTATTAGAGTGCAACCACGTGTTTCTCGCGGACTATCTAGCATTACACAGTAACCAAGATTAGCAATGTTTTGATCCGAATTTTGATGATGAATGGTTATCTCATTGGCCTTTGAAAGTTTAATCTAAATTTACAGGTATTTGATATTTACTCACTTCATAAGTTAGTGTGCACTCAAAATATAATCGTTATTACTTATATGTATATTAATTGCAACGAACGAGTATAACTGTTCTAAACACGCAGTAAAGCTCGAGAGCCTTGAATGTTCAGGTACTGAAACTACATCTTGCGCACTGTCTACTACTACTTCATGTATTCCATCTATTACTGGTACAGCATTAGGTAAGTTTAAAAACATGTGGGCCTGTACTACTGCTCATTTAGTAACGAAATAATGTTATATGTGAAAATAACATAGATTTACCTATTGCGATTGATAACTAGTAAATAATTAACTTAAAGGTTATTGATGATTTCTACATTTTTATATTTTAATTTCAATTTTAGTAATATCAAGAGTCATTTCAACATAACACTGCCTGGATACACCAGATATAAAGTAACATAACAACATGTAATGTGAACAACCATACATCGCATCTGATTATTAGCTACTGGCATAAAAGCTGATCAAGATGAAACTACGAAAGCAAGACAAGAACAAAAATGATGAAGTTGATAAAGGGAAAGGTGAAAATGATTTTTGGCACCAGTTTGTGAAATCCCGAGCTGAAAGCATTCAGTCTCTCAACGCTGGCGAACAGGAATTGTTGTATCTCGTCACAGAGGGAGATGTGCAAGGCGTTCAGGGACATATTGAGGTAAGTCGATAAGCATTCAGTCTCTTAATGCTGGCGAACAGGAATTGTTGTATCTCGTCACAGAGGGAGATGTTCAAGGCGTTCAAGGACATATTGAGGTAAGTCGATAAGCATTCAGTCTCTCAACGCTGGCGAACAGGAATTGTTGTATCTCGTCACAGAGGGAGATGTGCAAGGCGTTCAGGGACATATTGAGGTAAGTCGATAAGCATTCAGTCTCTCAACGCTGGCGAACAGGAATTGTTGTATCTCGTCACAGAGGGAGATGTTCAAGACGTTCAAGGACATATTGAGGTAAGTCAATAAGCATTCAGTCTCTCAACGCTGGCGAACAGGAATTGTTGTATCTCGTCCCAGAGGGAGATGTGCAAGGCGTTCGTTCAGGGACATATTGAGGTAAGTCGATAAGCATTCAGTCTCTCAACGCTGGCGAACAGGAATTGTTGTATCTCGTCACAGAGGGAGATGTGCAAGGCGTAAAAGGACATATTGAGGTAAGTCTAGATTACGTACATGAACATAAAAGAGCAATTGGTTGATCGGTACAGAGCTGGAAGAAAATACTTGGATATTTGTCTGTTAAAGTATATTTTGGATCCGACACCTGTAGTCTATTTCAGTAGTTCTGTCCGATCCATTAAGCATTAATTGCAGTAATTAATATTAAATGGTGGATTGGATCGAGTGGATTGGATTCATGTAAAAGGTGAATCTTCAAAATATGGAATTTCTTAAAAAATTGTCTTTCGATCTCCCTCTAAGAAGATTGTTGTTTTCCTCACATCCACAATGTCGAATAATAGATGTAATATTATGTCGCTTGGGTTGGCTAGAAGGGTGACCTGGTACTCGCATTCTGATACATAATCTTATTTATTACAAGGGCAATTTTAGGCAATTTATGAATCATAATCTAGCGAGTCAATTATTTTGCAGGGGCGGCATGATACACATATTTCAATTTTGTATATAGTGAATTCCCAGTGATTGATTTCAGTACAGTAAAACTGTCATAATGAACACCTCTTTAGTGAAGATATGTGCCCAGTAAACACATGACTCTACTCTATTGAACACCTGTGTATAGTGAACACTGCTTGTGCCATCATATGCTTTTTCTTTTATGAAATTTTCCTTTTAATATTAAAGAAGATCAATCCATTTGTGTACTAGTATCTGAACCCACAACAAAGTAAGTTGGTGAATACAATAGCAGACGTGGCAAAAACAGGCATATTCCTTCAAAAAATAAAGTTTCGTTGTGGGATACTTGTGACTCTTGTTTTGATTCAATTTATCTTGAAGGGAGGGAGTTGGGTTGCAGGTATCCATTTCTATTGAGATATATTCCTCAATCCAGCATAGTGTATTCACAGCATAGCTACACACAAGTGACCCTCTGTTCAGCATAATATTTCGCAGAATCCCAATCCAATCCACCGTTTACATGAATCACATCAACTCGACCCAATCCACCTTTTACAAATCCTTAATATATAATTGCAACATCTCACCATGTCATGCATCAGACAATATACTTGATTTCTGCTTTACAGTCCCACACAACGATAGACATCAACACGACGGACTATCAGGGAAGAACACCTCTTACAATAGCAGTCCAGAACCAACACGAGGACATGGTCTACAACCTCATCCAATGTCCAAACATCGTACTTGGTGATTCGCTTCTTCATGCGATTAAAGAAGGAAATGTGAGAATCATCGAAGTACTGCTTAACTGGCAAGACGAGTATGTAGGCCTTTTGTATGGGTTTTAATTTTTGGTATATTAGGTTTTACATTAAATCAAATTAACTCGTTTCAAGACTGCTATCCAGTATTTTATTGCGAGCACCACAGAACTCTTGCCATCAGAACTTCAGGAAAATTGCTTATCCATTCATCTACAGAAAGCCGGCTAGTGCCAAGATTTGATTGGAGCTAGAGCAAGCCGTGTAAATTAACTGCCATTTTGAATTTCAAAGTGCGATATGTATCACTCTGTGTCTTCATCATTCACGACAGATGTAACAAAAATTACGAAACTATAAATTTTGACAGTGTGTACTCTGGAAAGTCTAGATATTATATCTTTGTTTATCTAATAGCATACGTTAAGAATAGATACAATCTTTAATGAGGTACAATGTGTACTGTATAATTACACTGATTATGTTGGTTTTCATTGGTAACGTTTGGTTGATGTGATTTGTGACTATTTTTCTGGATAAAGTTTTATGTATTGATACCTGTTGACAATTGATCAGTTCTAATGGAAAGTTTATTTTACTATTTTTATTTCTTTTTTTACAATTTACAAAGAAGCAAGAACAATCTGATGATTCGAATGTTTTTATAATTCACAGAAACCATCGCAAAACAAAGCAAGTCGATGCTTTTGATTCTCCAGAAGATGAAAATGCAACAGAGGCATTTGAGAGTGCTGAGTTCTCTGCAAATATAACACCACTTATGCTGGCAGCTCATTGCCACAACTATGAAGTTATCCAGAAACTGATTGCACGTGGGGATACAATTGAAATACCACACCAAGTAAATTGTATGTACTTGTCATTGTACAGGGTGTGGGCTTTGTGGGGCTTTTTGAAAGACAAATCGTATAGCAAAACAATCCTCAGACAATTGCTGACCTCAAGATGGCAATTGCTAATGTAATGCCATTACAAGAGCTGAATATGTAAGAGTATCTTGCCATGTGAATCCAGTTCTGCCTCGGCCTCAATTGTGGCAAATTGGAGCATGTAATAAAAAATGAGAACAGCTCCTGAACCAGTTGACTGGTTGTATTTAAACTTTCAGGAACAAATTTCCGTATAATTGTCCTGATTTGTGCGAAATTCCATTGATGTCACTTGTCTAGTTTAGGAGATTTTGCCTACTTCAATGGTCTCCTTTTTTTCCGGTCACCTTGTATCATTTATTCGAATATAGAGATTTGTATCATTAATACTGATTGCAAGTTGCTCTTCTGGATAAATGTATTTTTATTACATTTAGCTGACAGTTTAGTTGACTAAGTTACCTGATATTGTGTTGCACTTGTAATTATATTATTTCTTTTAAGGTGATTGTAAAGATTGCAAAAGAGCCGATGATGAGTTTGAGTGTTTTGGAGAATTTCTAGAGGTTTCGAAACTACGGATTGATGCATATAAAGCTCTTGCTAGCCCTGCCTATATATGTCTCACAAGCGAAGACCCCATTCTGACAGCTTTTCAACTGGCCCACGAGTTCGATAAACTATTCATCGATGAGCCAATATTTAGAGTAACTCATTTCATGTATCAGTTTCAGCCTTGTCGTAAGATTGGGTCGAGGTTTTTTGTTCATTAGCTCGTGATTAATTAAAAATGACATCTGTCAGGGCTTTTAGGTTTTTATGATGATGCTTATGATGCTTATTCTTTTCTTCAATCAAGCGCTTCTTCCCGACTTATATTGGTTTAATCGTAATAAGACCTTTTTGTGACGAGTTTTTGTTCAAAAATGAAGGTCATTTAAGAAAAGAAACAACAGTTAAAATTATCTCACCTATTTTGAAACCCGTTATATGGCACTTTAATAACTCCGAAAGAATTGTATTCAACCAGCAAAAGGCAAAGTTGAAAAGCAATCTCGATTTATTTTTCTAATCATTTTAGCAACAATACCAGGATCTTTCTAAACAGTGCCGAGAGTTTGCAACAGAGCTTTTGGATGAGTCTCGAACATCAGAGGAGATATATTATATTCTAACACGAAAAGAAGGAGCTGAAAAAATTAATATTGGATCAAAAACTATGCAGTTTAGTAGACTCCAAATGGCCATTGATTATGGGATGAAAGAGGTATAACATCTACGATAAAATAATTTTATATAGATTATTTATCGATATATAGTTGGATAATTATGATTTATATCATACTCTATGCGTTTCGAAATTCTGAAGGGCAACTAATATTTCGAGACAAATATTGTGTATCATTTCAAGAAGGGGACAATAAAAATTCACATTTCCCATTCAAGAATCGAATAATCTGTAATTGATCACAGCTCATAGAAAGAAATGTATTACCATTTTAGGATGACTATAGCTTACTTTACTAAAATTAACAATTGATATTAGCTGTATCTGACACATATCGAGAACATCAATGTACGTCATGATATTTATTTCTTCAGTTTGTGACGCATCCCCATTGCCAACAAGTATTACAAACATTATGGACGAAACATCTTCCAGACTTGATGCATAAACACTTCTGCCAACAGCTGGGTTACTTTATCTTATTTGTCCTAGCCCTGCCTTTCACAACCATAGCCTACCTATTTTGCCCTGGATTAGATTGCTTGCAGATTCTCAAGGCTCCCATTAACAATTTCCTTCGGGATATTTGCTCCTACTTGTTCTTCTGTGCTATTCTACTTGCCGATACAGTCAAGCCATTTACGACCCAGAGGGGCCTAGGGACCAAAACGATTCTTGAATGGCTTGTCATCCTGTATGTTGTTGGATTCCTGTGGGCCAAAGTCAAACAAATCTACAATGAAGGTCCACGTGTATTTTTCCGTGAGAAATGGAATTGGTACGATCTGTTAATGATTACTGTATTTTTGCTAACGTTCCTATTTTGGACGATATCGTTTTTCGAAGTGGCGAAACACGGCGGTGCTGACATACCAAGGCGATACTGGAAATGGAACGATCCACTTTTAATAGCAGAAGGGTTATATTCATTTGCAACTGTGATGGCGTTTGGAAGAATTTTATACATCTTCCAAATCAGCCAGATTCTCGGTCCGTTGCAACTCATGCTGGATGGTATGATGCTGGATATCATGCAAGCGTTCATATTGTTCGTCGTCATCATTGTGACCTTCAGTTGTGGCATTACCAAGCTCTATACAAACTATGAAGACCATGTCCGCTTTGATGTGGAAACAGGTGAAAGTGAGCAGCAAGCTCCTGAATTTACAAGGTAAATTGATAATATATGGAAAAAAATTGGACGGTAGAACTTCCAAGGTACAAATTTTATATTATATCGACGTTTATTAATCATCTGCGACACAGAAACAGATAAACATAAGTTAACCCGTTCATTATATTTCAAGCATGTTGTTTGAACATAGTATATTCTTGTTATTGCTGCCACATATACATGTAGGTTCTATAAATCACTTGCTACCTTATTCTGGGCGTTATTTGGATTCGCTGAGCCAGGTTACGCCAATGTGATTGTTGGTAACGTATACAACGAAACCATGACAACAAAGATGAACTACCATACGTTTACCGAGATGATGGGTCTGATATTGTTTGGCATGTACCAGATCCTCGTCGTCATTGTTGTCGTCAATATGCTTATAGCAATGATGTCTAATACGCTGAACAGGATCGAGGTTCGTATTAAACGGGTTTTGGGAAGTACCTCATCATATTGGTGTTTTCTATTTGTTACAAAATGATCATTTATTTATTAAATGGGAGCATAATTGGACCATTTATACACATCTACATGTAATGTAACATTTACATTTATTTTAAAACTTACTGATGTCCCCGTTGAAATATTTCGAAACACCATGCCAAACAAGGTTGGATAAAGTAAATATCAAATTGTCAATTTGATTTTGATTCCTTATGGTTGATCCATGGGCCGCTTTCAAGGTTGATTGTACTTTTTAATATTACATTTTGTTATTTTAATACTTTTTGCCTTTCTTCTTTTACACTAAGCTCGTGCTTACATTTTTGTTCTATTTTTCAGGAAAATGTTGATATGGAATGGAAGTTCGCACGGAGTAAGCTCTGGATGCAGTATTTCGAGGCACAGGGTACCTTGCCACCTCCGATGAACTTAATCCCAAGTCCAAAATCAATTCTGAAGTTAATCAGGTTTTTGTGTTGTTGTATGGCGTGCAGACGGAAATCAGAGAAACAAACAGTGGTGAAATGTTCTATGAAGGTGATCTGTTTTAATAACGTTTCCATTGTCTAAATGATTGTGAGATTTATGGAGTAGCTGTGTCTTCATCCATTGTCTACCAGTGCTGCACTAATGACTGTCTCTTTTAATTACGCATCATATGTAGCGTTCGGTCGATGGAATAAAACTCTGAATCCACGTTAGAATTCACGTTGTCTGTATATACCCCATACAGGTTTTAATGATAGTATAAAATTTGCTTATTTTAGAAGTGTTGCCATGAAGAGGAAACTGTTCCATTGGAGGAAAGTGAGAAAACAAATGTTAAATACGAGGTACAATATTATTGTCTTCAATTCTCTGGATAGTGTTGTGCAGTGTTACTGATAAGTAAAGGTTACTTTAGAAAATTCTGATTCGTTTCTAAGTTTAAAAATGTATGTTTTATTACGTAATGCTCTAGCTGAAAATGAATCTACTTTCTGTACTATTTGAAGTGTCTACTAAAATTATAATCATATGACTTCCCATAAATCACGTTTCACCATTTCTTCTCACATGGACCATCGGGATTTTTCTCAAACTGGCGACCTTACTTCCGTGAAGACTCTTATTGGAGGTAGTCAGCAACAAAGAATATTCATATAGTATTTGAATGGGTTCGTTCCAGAGATTGGTTGCAATACTGGTCCATCGCTATATGAACAGAAAAGAGAACGAAAAAGACCAAGAGGACGTCACACCTGATGACATAGAGACGCTACACCAGGATCTTCTGAGAGAAATGGAGAAAATTAACCTGAAAATATCTTTGTTATTTACACGGTCCGACAAAAACCATATCGTACATTCTCCAAGCAAGAAACACGCACATAAACCAGGACATGTAACATTTGAAAAACCCGTATATGTTAACGAAATTGATCAATAAATGAATACGTGCATACATTCAAATACTGCATTAGTATATTGCATTACTGTGCTATAAACGAGAAAATTATGGTTGTTTCTGTTTTTACATTGCTTTCGAACTTTAAATACACTCCTTCAGCAAGGTTGGCAAACCTGACACACCCGCTGAACAATGTCTAAACAAAAATAGGGTTTGACATGATATAATGGGAAGTCAATGCTCGTATGGTATGCCTGGGTATCCAGAATATAAAAAGTTTTTTTGAGTTTGAGCTCCTATAAATATCATAACAATGTTGTAAAGTTGTAAGGAATATTTTTTATTTCAATAGAATTCCAACAACAATGATATGTAATTTGGCAAATTAATGGAATTACTTATATATTGTCCGTGTATATGAGACATGGATGACACGTTTGAAATCATTAAAAGTATTTCCGTTGTTGGTACTGCTTACATATACACCATACTTTGCACAGGTTGGACTGGCGGACTTCTATATGAAAATTGATTGCTTGATATTTCTTGTAATTTCGGTGTTTTTGGTGGATGCAATTTCTGTATTTCTCTCAAGAGATCTTGTCTTAAACTGTCCAAGTCATCTGGGGTGACAGCTTCTTTGACCTTTTCTTGTTCCTTCTTGTTGAAGTATCTCAACACGAGTTGCACCATCAGCGACTGCAATTAAACAATCATTAAGGCAACTTAATAAGACAACCTTAAATGTAATACTACAAGCTTAAATGCAATAGTACAGTCTAAAACACAAACTTTATTGAAAACCTAGTACAAACTCAACTAGATAGTTTGGTACAATCTTAGGTACCATAAGACGAGCCTATTTCATTTAACAGTACATAAATGAATATTACAAGAAACTGTATTTTTACCTTGTGTCGTTGTGTTGCTACAGCCTTATCTGTTGTGTCTTCTTCAGTTTCCAGATAACAACATCTCTAAAAAATACATAACTCGTTAAACAAATTATCGAGCTAACTGTCATACACGTTGAACAAAAAACATATCGCATAGTAGGCCAGTATGCAACATTTTAGGTCCCTTTAAGGCAATTATATTCTCAGAAGAAGCCCAAAATTAAATTACCAATAGTGCATCCGTAAATATTTTTTCGCTCAATTTTTGATCACATAATTAATCTTTTAAGTTGCGGAGTGTGTTTTCCAAATCTAAAGCATAGATTATCAGGGATATTAGATACTGTAACTCAAGTTAATTGTAAGAAAATAAATATCGCACGATTTTTTGTTGTTTTTTGTGCACCTAAAACGTGCAACTAATATACATTAAAAGTGCCATTATTGGGTATTACTCATTAGATTCATCCTAACTATGAACTTGTGTTGATACGACGTCAGATACTGTACATCACGGCGTAACAGTGTAATTGTTCATTTTACCGACAAAATGCAAAGATTTACGCGATAAATATGCGCAATGCTCCTTCAAGTCATTGCAAACGTTTTAATATTCGTAGAATCTTCTTAAAAACTTCAAGTTTTGTTCAGATTAATGTGCGCTTCAATACAATTCTATATTCAAAAAGGTTGTGTCACGATATACAGAATTAGAATCACCAGAAAGTAGACATTTCAAACCCTACCCGTTTTCTTCTTTGTCGCGCTTTTCGGCCCTGCGCTCTCGTTGTCGCATCGTCTTTCTAGACTCTTTCACAATGCCCCTTGTCATATTCAACTGATAAACACAGACGGGAAGATATTAAGGATTGTTAAATGCATTATTTGTAATTTATTTTAACTCGAATATTTAGTTTTATTTATTTAAAGCAATGAATAATAAAGGAGAACATATAATACACTAACGGCGTAACGTCTTATTTTGTAAAGGCTTCACTTGGGGTTGCGGTGATAAAACGATGTCTATCTCAATATATACTGGTTCAAATTAAATGAAATTAATTGTATGTAGTAAGGGGTATATTTAAAAGAACATGCTGAAACATTGGAAAGTTATGAATGTTTATCCCTTAATTAGAAATATTTGAGCTCAAAAAATGAAACGTAATTTTGTGAATTTTTCACATGGCTTCACTTCATATTTCTTTCAATTTATACTTCTTACAGACCGAATTTCAATCGAAATGATATAGTTTTTTGATAAAAATATAGAATATGATATGCCTTTCAGGAATCAAAAAAGAATAATTCACCTTACAAACGATTTAATGTTTAATTGATCAAAATATATATCTTGTTGGTACGAAATTATGCCTGTCGACACTTTTTTTGCATAAATATAAGCGTTAAGTTAGCATTGTTATATTATGACGTCATCACACAGAATCTTTTTGTCTTTTCCAAAATGGTGAATTTAAATATTGTGAAAATTTGAGAAAGATCCGTTGAGAAATGAAAAAGTTATCTTCATTTTTCGTTTAAAATTAAAATCACTTTTCTTCAAAATGTTACAGTCGACACCCGGTTTTAGCATAGAAAGTCGCATAATACGGCTTGCGTGATTCTCATTTTAAAAGTCCCAAATCAGTTATTTGGAATTCTGATAGGCAAAATATTTCATGGACATACGTGTTCAACTGATGACGAAAAATTGTAGAAAAATATGATTTTTCTGTCGAGATATTGCGGTTTTAAAAGTAAGTACGCATTAAAAATGCAGTAAAATGCCGCGATGTACAGTTTCTGACGTCGTATCGTTAACTATTTATGTTAATTTCTTCAAGACTGTATATCACTACCTTAATACCGTCTAACGACTTACAGTAGGAGAAAACTCTGCAGTCTTTCCGTCACTTCCACAGCATTTTGTCTTGATCCATAGAAACAAGTAGAAGAATGATTTTGGGCTGGGGATGAGGTTGAAGGGAGGGGGCAATGTCCCACCGCTTTCAAAATAGGTCATCCACATCCGGGAGCGTGCGAATTTCCATTCAACGTCGGCATTTTCCTTTATAATATAGCAATGTATACATGTATGCACAGGTACCAACCGGGAAATACCAAAAAGTGTTAAAACGGGGCAAGGAAATGAAACATTAACAAGTACAACCAGTCACCAGTAAAGCAAATCCCAAATATCCCAAACTAAGATCTAACATTTGAAGGCACAAAGCCTGTTTAACACCCCCTCCCCCATACAGGAACCATTTCCATGTGAAACATTATGATGTGGTGGTTCAAGGTAAACAGAGTGTATAACCCATCTGAAATGCTACTTCCATGTTACTTAAACAAGTAAATAAGTTTTGAATTTTTTGAATAACATTTATTCACTCCTAGATTACACCATTCTTCTGAATCTAAGTTGAAATTCGCACCTTTTAAGGTGACAAATGTTTCTTAAATATATAACAGAAATATCAATTCTACAATACCTGTATTTCATTTAGTGAATTGGACATCATAGCAATGAGCATATTTAATAGAACTGTCACTACAATCACATGATACCCGGCATATAGGAGGTACCCAACACCCTCAGTAAAGTGGTGTTTCCTAAACACGTAAATGTAGAGTAGAATATGCAATATGGGTTAACATAATATGAAAATAGTTTAAACTCATAGACACTTGAGCAATTTTGTCTCGGGTCCCTTTGTATCCCAATCTTTTGCAGAAAATGTTCAAAAAAACCGCTTTATACATGAACAACAAGACTTTTACAAAATATTGAGACAATAACTTTGTTTAGAATGAGCAGAGGGGATACGTATCATCCTCAGAACTGCGATAAATATATATCCATATTGAATGTGCCTAATTTTACCTCATTGTTTGTATTTACCTCATTGGAACTATCAAAGTATTATTGAATGTGTTTGTGACTACAATATCAGCATACTCGGGTTCTCCATATCCAAAGAGATTCCAAAACAACGTTCGAAATGTGTTAGAAAATCTGAAAAATATTTGACTAATTAGACCAAGTATTGTAGTAAAATAGGATCTAGTTGTAATACTCAGTGGTACAGTTGTAATACTCGATGGTACAGTTGTAATACGCAATGGTACAGTTATAATACTCAGTGATACAGTTGTAATACTCGATGGTACAGTTGTAATACTCAATGGTACAGTTGTAAGAACTATTGTACTTGTTTTACGATGAGGGTTTTGCTGATTCAGAGAATGAATTGGTGAATACTTACTCTACGAATTGTGCTGGTTGAGATTTCTTGATTCATTGATTATTTGCGGCAAGATGTCGGTACAAGATCAATATCGTAATTACCCAAATGCGAGTAGGTAGTTACCAGTTTCACCACCAGGTGGCTGATTCGGGTCAATTAACATGGCAGGTATATAAGAAAGTTCCCTTAAACTTGAATATTATCAATTTAAGTGGCTCAATTTGAATATAACCTTTATGTGTCTGATACTTATACTAATGAAAATATGTCCAGTAAAGCAAAATATTATCTGTCCACTAAAAGAAAATATATTTCATTTTTTGTGATTTTATAGCATGGGGTCTATGGGGAATCTCCCCGAGCTAGAACTCACTTTTTGAAAGAAAATTAGTTTTTCAAAGTTGATAAACACTTTTTAAAACCACATTTCTAGAAGTAATTTTACATGTAGATTTCAAATATGATATTACTTTGACTGAATTTTGAATTTTTAATGACGTAAATCAAGATTATTTCTACTCGCATCTGGGTTATTGTGACTATGGATACTTACTCTACGAACTGGGGTGGTTGAGTTTTTGTGCTGTTGTTAGGATTTACCCTGACACTGTTCTCATAATATGAATACAGTCTTGTTAGTCCCGATGCAAAACAAAACATTGTCAAGAGAAACGTCAATAGAATCTGCAATATATCATCTAGCATTCTGCTCAGTGAGATTTGAAGTGGCCCGAGGATTTGGCTCATTTGGAAGAGGTATACGATTCTCCCAAACGCCAAGACTGTGCCAATTGAGAAAAACCCTTCCGCGAGAAGAATCGGATCTTCTGCGAACCAAAATCGTCTCAATTCATCTGCGTATGATGTCCCAGCTATGCGTACCCAGGTGTAAGAAATCGCCCAGCATACGAATGTTAATACAAACGTACCAATCATAACAATGTCGTATATGTGCCATAGGGTTTTAAAGTATGCGACTCTTCCTTGACCCCATAGCACCTTAGCGTGATTCCAAAGTAAACCTACCACCCAAACGATAATTAGCCATTCGATGGCGTCGCCAGGATGTTGGCCTCGCTTTCGAGTCTCTGTAGTCATCATATTAGCAAATAATAGTCCAAGAAATGCCACATATGACGCAGTGTCACTTAAAAACTTGTTCATTGGAGATCTCATTGATTTCATAAATGACGCTTTTGGAGCTACAAGATATAGTAAGATCATCACTGGCAACAAAACGAGCCTCCAAGTGAAATACCAGATCTGCTCTAACATACTTCTCCTCATGAAGTCCGGCACATATTCTGTCCAAAGTGTCTGGATTACCTGCTGGCAGTTTGGGTGGACGATAAACTGAAATCATATCAAATGGATTTTGGATAACGTGTGAAACATTAAGAATTATTTTGGTTTATTATTCTCGTAATAATGTAATGCTTGATCAAAGGATTATCTTCACCTTGAGATTGTAGATGCTCTTTTGGGAAGGGAATGTCAATTTCTTTTCTGAAATACTCACATCTTTCATCTCGTATTCAATAGCTAAATGTAACAGTGGGAATTCTCTGGCTCTGGTCCCTTCCCTTTGGGAAGGAAATGTCAATTTCTTTTTTGAAATACTCACATCTTTCATCTCGTATTCAATAGCTAAATGTAACCGTGGGAATTCTCTGGCTCTGGCCCCTTCCCTTGATTCAGCGCCCTCTGGCCTTCTCAGTATGTGGTACACTTCCTCCGAGGCACGACACTGATCTAAAAGATCCACTGCAAACTCTCTACATTGGTCTGCTAGTGATTTATATTCTTTCTAAAATGTCAATGGATGACTATTAATTTTGTAGTTCTTCTCAGGGCAGTATAATTTGAATAAACAACACATTTTCATTTCAGCTGTTTTACTTAAAAATTGACTGTGTTTGTTGGGTTTATTTTTATTTAACCGTTTTGTTTATTGGTAAGCATGTTCTTTGCACTATATACTGGTATAAGAAAAATAAATTGCTAAATCAAGCACATATGGGCAAGTAGATACCATAGACACTTGCCACTTTTAATATGTGGATAGATTGAATAAAGTAAATAGGAACCTACCCTAAATACTGGTTCGTGTACGTAGAGTTTATCAAAGCCATGGGCAAGCTTAAATGCCACAAGCATGGGATCGTCAGACGTCTGACAGATATATCCAGGACTAGCCAAGGCCCTGTACGTGTTGATTCTTTTACGTGAAGTTTCAAGGAATTCTCCAAATTCGTCTCCATCTCTCTTGCATTCTTGGCATTGACCTATAATGTTTTTTACCATACGGATCATAAATTATCTGAATATCGTAGACTACGTGTCTAAGCAAACGTTCATTATTCCATTGAGTCATTGATAGCGGTGTGACACATCGATTATTATTTATTAACAATCTACAAAGCTATATCAGTGTGTTTGTTATGTTTTAAATAACGAAAAACATCGGAATAATGCATTGTATATTTTGAAATGTTCTGAATGATAATTAGTTAAATCCTACTACATGTATTAGTTATATCGACGAATTGAAAAGGAATTATTCAAAATCAAAAACTACAAATTAAACAATTTCCTTTGTTTCGCAAATGCAATCACAAATTGATGTATGATACTAGCTAGTATAGTAAGTGTTTGAGATATATTGTAGAGAGTGCACTGACAACTTCAAAATCCTGTACCGTGTACGATGAGCAGTACAAATGTGTTCCATCCATTTATTGTGTTCCTTCCTCATTATCAAATTGCCAAATTTAGTATTTTCTGTTATCTTTCTTTTCTAATGTCGCTTTCTTTAAATCCTTGAATTTTATTTTACTTAGCACGATTTCTTTCAAAATATTGTTTTCTTAATTACTTACAGTCAAAATCGTGTGGGTCGTCGATTTTGCCGCCATTGCTTAAAAGGAGTTGTATGATGTCGTAGTTGTCATAGTGACAAGCCAAAACAAGCGGAGTGACACCCGGGGGAAATTCTGCACTTTCTGAGAAGTCTTCATTCAATCTCCGTCTCTCTGCTTCGCTTAGACTAAACAAGAAAAAACTACTTTATGATAAACCTAAAATCATTTGGAATTATATATCAATGTGCTCTTCAATGATCGATTTATGTCTAATGGTAACGTTAATGATACTATGTACAGCTTATGTATTTGCTATTTAATTTTATGAAATCTTTTTCAACTGGCTAATTCAGAAAATGGCATCATTGCTAGTCATAATTTGGCCGTTGTATTGGGGAAATCAATTTGTGTTGGTAATAGTACTGGATGGGAGGTTCTATTAGGCATACGAGGGATGATAAATAAGTAATGGATGCTTTCTTACACAGATACTTTTTACAGACCAATCCCTTTGATTTTCCTACCAGTGATACATCATTCAATTATCTATCAATTCTGAAGATTCATAAATCAAAGGGATTGGTCTATAAAAAGCATCTGTGTAAAAAAGCGCCCATTACTTGTTGATCACCCCTCGTATGTAGTATTCCTGGAGAACAACATGCCTTTCGATATAGTCTGAATTCTTGTATATGTCATATATCTCTTCGTGCGCATGTAATAATCCACGTGAGTCAACCAATACTACGTTCTCCTGACAGAGGAACACATTTATGTCACCCACCTTTGCTCCAAATAAAGTAATATCTCAACTACTGTGCCTGGATCTACTCAACTAGTCCACAAATTTTATTGGAATAACTAATAATATCACACACCTTTTACCCCAATTGAGTAACATCTCAACTATTGTAATATTGCCCTCTTTAACTGCATGCAGGAGAGAGTCCCCTAGCTTGATATCCTTCTGGTGAAGTAGATAATCCACGAGTTCCTCGTGACCATGTTGTATGGCAATGGTTAGAGCTGATCTTCCCATGAAATCATGGCAGTTTATGTCAAGTTCATGAGCATGCTAAAATCGTAGAAAGTTAATGTTCATTTTCATTGTTTAGTGTGGTTGCTCGGGATTTTCAAGTCCTGACTTGTGTGGCTCCGGATCAAATGGATATTAACTAATTATGGACAGAACGACAGATGCAAGTGGAATAGCATACGACCAACGTTATATTATGTCCTTAAAATAAGACTGTGAAAGTAATTTCAAGAGCATTAAGAAAGCCTGCTAATACCAAGAAAGATACCAACAGCCAGTAGCATTTGACAAGAAAATCCACAATAAATAACTATCACAAACACCCAATCATTTTACAAACTTAAGCACACACTTATGTACCCAAGTGTTATGGTTATCATACTTGAACTAGATTGCTTTATTGCCACCTACTTCGACGTACTCCTTGATATCTTGCATATCTCCCTCGTTCACTAAACGGAGGAGCTCCCTGTCCGTTGGATTCAGCATTCTTAGGGTATCCCCTTCTTTTGTATTTGTCATAAACTGTGTTAGCGACTCCCCGCTCTTGCTGATCAAGTCATTTTGTGACGTCATGCTCGCCTGTAAATAAGACAACCGCGTTCACCTTAAGGGCATTAACTGTCAGTTGTTTTGTTACTTTAAATAACCCAGGAAGACAGGTATCTGTGTCTTCTCACATATTTTATATTGTGTTTGATGTTGTGACTGGTAATACTAGCCAATACTATAATGCGTATACAATCGAAGATGATTGCGAGGCGACCTTCATAACACTTTATCCCTTTTTCTAGCATTAAATGACAAAGTGACAATATTGTTTATTCTATCTCTACTTGCTCTGATATTTCAACTCGTTTTCTTATGTTAAAATAGTGCAGCACCTTCGAAGGACATGGAAACGGGATGGACCACTTTTGTGTGTCCTCCTATTCCACAAACTACATCATTAACTAGTACGACACTAGTTGTAATCGTTATCGTACAAACGTAATAAAAGTTATGCGTCCGATCGAGATAAATACCTAGTAAATAAATACGGTTGCAGAAATTTCAATATAGATCAAGTATCATTAAAGTGACTGCAATATCAAGTCCTTTGACAGCACTTGGTATGTGTAATACAGGGTGACCAAAATGCATCTTTTTGGAACAACTTTCAATTTTAACTAATGACAAATTTCTGAAATTCCAGGGTTGCATTTTGGATCACGCTGTACATTACTAAAATATTATGCACCCCTTGCTTGTTCATTTGTTTGACATGTTTCTTTGAAATGAAAAAGTAGCAATACAGTAAAACCTGTCTAATCCGAACACCCATGGGACCAGCTAAAAGCGTTCAAATTGGCAGGTGTTCAAATTTCGAGGATTTTGTTGGTCGGGGGGGGGGGATTTTCATTGTTCAGTGCACTATATTGAACACTTAATACTAAGTCAGAAAACAATACATGTTGTTAATGAGTTAATTCTACAATAGGCCTATAGCCTATATGCTATGTTTTATTTATATTTTGAACAATTTCACCATTTTAGTAAAAATAACTCTTATATTTTGGCAAAAACTTTGTAATACACTGTAAAAGTATATGATAGTCTCGTACGAAATATTGTGCTTATCAAATGGCTTATCCCATATTATGGTTATATAGCACTGCTTTACTTTTGCTTGAAAAAGTTCTTCATTGTTGTTTGTTTCTTGGCACTTTTAGCATTAGCAATATTTGAGTAGATATCCTCTTCAAGTAAAAATAATTTTTCATGAGTGTTCATTCGAGATGATGTATTATCCTTCAAAATATCAAGGGCATTCAGGATGTCAGATGTATGCGAATATTACGAAGTTGGATTTTTTCTCCTTCTCGTGATATAATCGTGTCTGCAAATGGTGTCTGTGTTATGTTTGTGATTATAAAACATTTACTGATTGAATCTTAGCTATCATAACAGACCCATGGGATATAAAACAGTTAAGACCTGTTCATAATCCAAATCAAAAACATCCAGTTAATTTACAATAAGGATAAACCAATTATCTCCCAGACTCTCACCTTTCTCTTAATCCAAATCAAAAACATCCAGGTAATTTCCAATAATTATAAATCAATTATCTTCTTGATTCACACCTTTCTCTTAATCCAAAAATAAAACATTCAGTTCTTTTCTAATAGGATAAACCAATTAACTCCTGTATTCACACCTTTCCAAAACATCCTGTTGTTTTCCACAAATTAGGGATGTCACTGAGACTAAATAAGTTAATTAGGACGATTGGTTCTTTGATTGCATTTGTATATGTAAAGATATATAACAACATTGACTCAAGATGTGGCTTTAATTGAAATGTCCAGACATTTGATTTCTGATAAAAATGTTCAGATTAGACAAGTCACTTTTTCAAATCTGCTTGTTCACTGTTCAGATTAGGAGGTGTTCAGATTTCAAGGTTTTTTTAACATGGGAGTCAATGGGAGGAAAAAATGGGACCGAAAAAAAGTGTTCAAATTGGAAGGTGTTCGGATTAGCCAGGTGTTCAGATATACAGGTTTTACTGTATAATGCATGGAGGATACATGCATTTTATTGCAATTGAAAACATGATAGCGACCATGGAAATGATCAAACACCCGGATCTCAATATGCGTTCGAACGTAGTCACGTTTTTCAGTTTTGTGGTACCACAGTGTGACTTGACTTGATCCTCCATTTGAAAGCATTCTTTGATTATTTTATCAAATCTAAAATTTGCATTTCCACTACAGTAAACTTGTGAAGTGGAACACCTCCCTTCGTGGAACCCCTCCATAAGTGGAACATCGGGACAGTGTTCCATTAAATGAATCTAGAAATGAACCTCTATCATTCGTTAGCAAGGCGTCTCACTTACAAATGTTTTACTGCACATGAATGGAACAATTTGAAGACGTGGTTCATGTTGTATATGACCTTGCAAATTAATTTGAATAATACATGTGGATGATGTACTTCGTACAATACATACGCACCTGTGTTTTTAGCAAATCTCGTATCACGCGTCCTTCCTTAACACCAGTGTTAATTTTCAACGATTTTTTCGATTTTGCTTTTAATCCCATGTTGTATAGCAATACCTATCAACTTATATTTCAGAGAATCCCGGTTCGTTAACGATTTACTTTAGATAATTTTGAATCTCGTGTTGTCGGCCAATTTTAATATTCATTGATATTTATGACTTTTAGGTTTTTTCAAGAGCACGACATGAAGTTAGATAATCCAGGTTCAAGGCCTTTGAAGGTTTATGTCTGTTTCTCTTCTTTTATTTGATCAGCTCCTGCATTATGAAATGACCCCATCCAGCCAGTCGTCTTCATCGTAAAATTGGTATATTTCGTATCAGAATAAGTGAATGTATATAGTTTGTTATCACATTTGTTAGATTTCAAAATTTGATGTCGATATATGATATCATGAACCGACTGGTCAATTTTGCTGTACACATGCTATATAACATGCTTAATGACAAATATTTCAAGGTCTGGTATTAGATTAATAATTATTTATTAATGATTGATGTTAATAAAAAGTAATACCAAAGTAGTTACATAAATAACTGTACTTTCACCTAATTATTAGTAGTAAATGTATATTTATCTTAATGCTGATCATGTTTAAAACTTAGAGATTAGAGAATGATAGGTATGTTTGGGACCACTCGGTCAATAAAATTAATACTAGTATTATGATAAATGATATCATATTGACCATACAGTAATGATGTATCGCACATAACCTTATGATCTCTCACAGATTCGGATGTTTAATGTATATAAATAAGTACGATTCGAAATCAAATACATCCTTTAAAATATCTACTCGTTCCCAAACCTTCGATATACTGATATAAAACTGTATATAATGTATATACAATTACCATCTGGTTCAAAATCACGATACAATCGATCATTAGTCAATTTAAAAAACGAAGAATATGAATTTTTCTATAAGAGTAATACATTTATGCTCTATTTTCAATTTCTTTGTAAAGTTTAGGATAACTGTAAAGGTACAAAAATATCGAAGTAGTAAACCTACCCCATTCTTGATATTTTTGTTGTTTAGAAGTGTTCTATGTGATATCAAAATAAGAAAACATGTATGTCTAGAAATATGTTAAAGCTTAGTACCACTAGTAGGTTTGGGTGCTTATTTAGCTCTCATTTCACCCCATTTTCATGTGAAGACATAAAAAGTTGTAGTATTGAAAATATGACTAATTGAAAAAAGGTTTGTAGAACCGATTATTTATTTCATGAACATTTTCTGTTGCAATGTACCGCTTACCTGTTTCCTTATGTTGGTCCCTCTATCTGTTTCATTCGGACGGTCCAGGCAGTATACCTTTCTATGCGGCCTCAAATTACCGACCATTCGACATTTTATATCAAACCTTATATAAGATGAACAATACCTACTGTTTATGGTTACTATGCAAAAGTGTACCTATATACGAGGGTTATTCTTTAAGATTTGTTAATAAAACCCAATATGCCGTTTTCAAAGCAATCGAGATTGTATGTATTCAACTAACGATGTTCATATACAGATACATACTGGTGTATCATTAAACAAAAGCCCCCCAAAACAATAAAAAACGCAACTTGTCCTATTTATCGACTCATTGACGTATTGTTCTTGATCTACCCTCGCATTGTAAACAAATATGCTGGTAGAGCACAAACCACACTTGAAATTATCAGCATCCAACCTCGCGCCTCTTTGTGCGACTCGCAGATAGACGAGAGCAAAGTCTAACTGGTCTGTGTGAACGATCGCCAATCTTCATGACTAATAGTATTTATCACAGAAAAGATTGTGTAGTAACATTGGATTGCTACAATGATATTTTTAACGTAAATCATCCCCTGTCGATGTTACACTCCCCTCCATTAGTTTCAATGGCAATCCGAAGTCTCCTTTTGAATCGCATGTCAAAGCCCGTTTATGTTCGGCGATCTAAAAAATTGTCACAATTCTCATTTTCCGAATTATTGGAACATAGATTTATCAATGCCAGGCTTTGGTGTGTTAGTAAATGAAAACTTACGGTTGGCAAACTTATGAACGGTAGCGTTGTTGAGATACTGGCGCATTTGTTTTTGGTCACCCAATGGTGGCAAAACATTAGCTCGACCAGATATTCCAGAAAGTTCTACAATATCACCTATTTGGAATCGTTTTTTCGACCCTTTTGAAAATATTCTAGGAATATAGGAATATGAAAATATGAAAAATGTAAATATCTTTAAAATATGTTTAAGGACGATGTGTAGTGTTTTCAAAAGTAGAGATACAGCAAATATGTGAAACATTTGAAAACTACAAATATTTTAAAATGACCCACTTAATGTAATTTGTCATTGATTAATTGTGTAAAGAAAAATCTTAATCTGATTTTCGGATTGAACTGAATGTCAATACTCGATACCAAGAAGAAATTGAACAAATTATTGCAAAATTTGATTCACATATAGCTAATCTGTGGATTAATCATGTACGAACAAATACACTTTTTATAGGAATATGTTATTCAATCAAGAACCACGATATCTCATCAAATAGTGAAATAACTTTAAATTAATTTACTCTAAACAACGCCCTTACAATTCCATATCAATTTATTAACAAATATAATTTGTACATCTTATAATGACATAGTGTCTCTCATAGTGTCTGGTATATGTGTACGAAATAATGTAGACTCGGTTATTTCAGAATAATTGTAAAGTATGATATTATTATCTAGTATTTATTTCAATAGTCAAGTGATCAACTACAGTACATCATTGCTAAAATAAACATTGCTTTGATTTAACCGAGAATTTTATTTCAGAATAGAAGAAAGTAAACTTCATTGAAAATCATTAAATGTTCTATACATATTGAATTCCTTATAACTTTCTTGCCTATAAGTCAGGATCTTACATTTATTCATTAGCCATCGTGGATAAAAATTGGAGTTTATCTATTATAACAGCTACTATGTCACCAGAGAGATTTAGGCCGATATAAAGATGGCAGTATTGAAAGAGAAGATGGGCCATATAAACAGGTCGGTTTTTCTACTCTCTTTTGTGATCATTCTTTCTATCACCCCAACATCTGTGATATACCTGATTTGAAAACAAATGATTAAATATACGAGGCCATATATACAGTTAAATTATAAACTTAATCATATCAAGTACTGTAGTATTAAATACCCCCAGTTTGTCTTTTAAGAAATACTGAACACGTTCAGTTTAACACTTTAAAGGTTACATTATTAGGAATAGGTTTAGAGACGCAAGAAATGTTGAATTTGCAAAGTGACGGAAATTAAACGCCAGTGACATTTGTACCAGGAGGTTATACACAATCATAGGAAATGAACCATATTACATTTCATGGTTGTTATTGTTATAAACAGAAACAGTCCAGCCAAAAGGATTTACATTCGTTTCACTTTTTAGTCTTTTACATGATTCAATAACAAGTATTATAATACCACAGGCCAAGCCTAGGGTCGTCCAATGTTTCAGAGTGTCTAAAGTGTATTCTTGCTATTTTATTGTCAATCATATCGTTTTTTGCTCGATTTATATACTGTTTATTCTAAGTCCTTGTCAGTTTGACTATTATTGGTTAGAACCACGGGCGTCCGAAGGAGGGGAAGGACTAGTATCTCTAACACCATTCAGTTGGTTAAAGCACCGCTTGTTTTGTCTGTATCGGTATACACATTTCTAAACGTCTACCACTAACGAATGACTAAAAAGTGAAATCACTATTGAATTCGACACTACACTACATGTAACGTATGACAATCTATCAACATTGAATTATTTCCAAGATTTCTATGTACACATTATGTAATAATTAGCGACATCTTAACATTCCAGGTATATACAAACAAATACGTTCATCTCATGGATACAAAATGCGTGTTAATAAAAAGCATGCAAGTAATATTGATAAGCTATAATTTATAGATGGCGCAAGACACTTAAAATAGGGATGTACTGAATCACAGTCAACTACGGGTTGCACTGAGGGTTCCGGCTTTGAGGTTGGCTCCGGGGTTGGCTCTAAAGTTGGTTCTGTCTCAGATGTTGTTTGATTGGCAACTTGAGCCTCATTTGCTGTTGTTGTTATCGGGCCCTTAGTTGTTGTTGTTGTTGTAGTAGGGGGATCGGTTGATGTCTGGGGTTCAGTTGGCGCTGGTGTCGTTGGAGATGACTTGGTTGTAGCTGTTGTGGGTTCTACTGTTGTTCTTGCTGTGGTAGGAGATTTGGTAGTAGTGGTTGTTGTAGTAGTAACTGTTGTAATGGGGGACTTGGTGGTTGTTGTAGTAGTAACTGTTGTAATGGGGGGCTTGGTGGTTGGTGAGGTTGTAGTGGGGGGCTTGGTGGTTGTGGTAGGGGGCGCGATTGTTGTATCTGAAAGTAGATGCATCATATCGTAATCAGATCTCTGTTCTTACTTTTTGCATTATTCATCATCTTGAGTTCAAAGGTTCCAGCTGTTCAGACTTCACTCGGCAATAGAGCTAACCAAAATTTTCAAACAGGTCTTAGTTTAGATTTAATGTCCTTTTTAAGGACCCCTTTTCTTACTATTGAAAATGGATTCTAACAATACTCTCCCACATAGATCTATTTGTTGAAACCCAATCAACTTGAGTTCTTCTAGGATAATCCATTTTCAATTGTAAGAATAGGTTTTCTTAAACAGGACGTTGGGCTTCATTTTTAGAACTTTTTGTTGGCTCTACAAGTTGTGTTACAACCACTTTGAAAGTTATAGATGTCATTAATTGCGCTAAATTATTCGGCTCGCAGTTTCAGCAGGAAGATGTACAAAGCAGAATTAATAACAAAACGATGCCTAAATAAGATATGTCACTGTACTTACCGGATTTCAATTGGTACAAGCGCACAATCGGGCATTGTATTATATCCTCGCTGTTTGTACTGGAATACGTGGATAGCGTGCACTTCCCTATGTCGCCACCATCGATGACAAACTCAGCTGAGGCGCACTCGGAAAGCTCTACACCAGTGGCGCACGCTGCGAGACATTCATTGACCAATGTTTCGGTGAAGTCTCCATAATCTATGATCTTATCATTATGACCTCTGAGACAGGAGGCCTGGTTATAGACCCATGTCGCGCCTCCTCTGTTTTCCTAAAGAAAATAAGGCGCAATATAAAAACTGTGCAACATAAGAAGACAAGATGGTTACTTTGCATCAATCTGCAACTTGTGTTGAGTATTACTTGAACATCATGTGTTAACATAATTTTGTTTCAAAACAATACATTTACATACTCGGCTTTAAAGTGTGCGCCAAAATTTAAAACTGCGCAAGCGCAGCGCTCTCGCTAACCTATATAAAGAGATTACAGGGTACATGCTTCAGAGGTAAGCCAGGAAGGTGTACAACTATCGTCCCGTGTTGATTTCCCGTATAATCGTAACCAGGCAAGTTTCACCATTGGAATTGAAATGACTATTAGATATACTTTGTAGATGTTTATATATCACTGTGTATATGAAGGTATTAAGTGTATGCATCAATCAAATTGCTCATTTTGAACATATAAAAAGTATTTGTGTTTGTTTCCCAGGGAATTGTATTCCCATGTACGTACACACATAAATAGTGTACATTATGTTGTACTTGAATAGCCTGGCTTATATAATATTGAAGGGCATGCTGATTGTACACACGAGTACATGCATGAAGGCCTAATATTGATATTGCTTGCATACCTAAAGTAAAAATAAACTCTTCTAATCCCCTAATGTAAACACGGCGGTATACGTAGCCCGATTTATCGGGGGCTTTAAAATGATATATACTATACACATTGCATTAAGCAAAGGCTAACTGAGTGCTACCCCACATTTCCCAGAGAAACGTTATCTTGAAGTTGGAATTGAGGGAGGAATTTAGGGTGGTATCCTAATTGCTAATAGTTATAACTGTTATCAGTAATGTTTGTTAAGTAATACACTTTACTATATAACTGTATTATCATATGTAAAGTATTGGAATTTATTTTGTGAGTAAACCAAGTGTTTGGTTTGAAACACAATAAAATCGTGAAAAACAACATATAATGAAAAACTTATGAAACGAAAAACTGATGACCATAATATATAATCATGTAATCCTCCATTTTATAATTATTTCATTAGAAACCAAACAATTTCTTATCAACACATTCTCCCAATTGTGGCCTGTTTTTTCAAGTAACTGATCAAAAAATATGTGCGAATGCAAGAGTAGGGTGAAACCTTTTAGAACTTTTGGTTCACCCTGTACGAGTAATTTTGATTTGATATATCATTTTGACTGTTCGTTTTATATACGAGATATTAAAACAGTATTTTGAAGCGGAAGGGTTATTCTTATTTCCCTTTGAGGTACATTTAGAAACTCATTCGTACATTAATTTAAAGTTCAAAGATGATGACGATGACTAATGCTGCCTGTAAGCACTGGGCGGTAGCGGACTGTAAGGCCTATAAGTAAGCCTTGAAAGATCATACATCTATGTTATTAAAATAAAATGTAGCATTCGCGATATCAACCGACGGCTGACGGTTTAATCTAGTTTTCAAAGTCAACTCATCTAAATATGAAATGGCAGGTACTATTCATTTTTAAATATGTTGGCCATAAAATGGTATGTTAGACGGTCTTTGAATTCGCGAATGCTACTAAGTTATGCCAGTAGGTCTAAGAGTGTATTTCTTTTTAGTTTTAAATGTTCCCTTGATCGCAACCCAAATAGCATAATATATTAAAAGTTAAAGTGTAACTGAATGTGCAGCTATATGACCTGCGGAGCCATCGAATGGATACCTCAGTGAATAAGAAAACATGTTTTCATGTCGTTTAAAGTAGAACTGTCAGGTTAACTTTTAAAAGCTAAAATTGATTGTTCAATTCATTTTTCTTCAATGTTGTGGATTCGAATCGAAACTTCCAAAAGTAATGAATTCCATTCCTCAAATTGGAAATACTCCTCTTGACTACAAACTTTCCAGTAAACGCAAAATCATCCATATCTAGAAAATTATCTGAAGAATGATTATGACTTACGGGTGCAAACTGAAGTTCATGGCCCGAGCTAACATTTTTGCATTAGAAACCAATTAAGAATTATGGCGCATGAGTGATGGATTTTGTTCATTCTGTGATGCAAAAAAAGAAGGACACTGTTCAAGATAGAATTTTGGAATGAATTCATTTCAATGATGAGCGCCAATCACTTTGCTTTAGTACAAGACAGAAATGTAATGAAATTATATTTTCCTATTTTATCTGTGCACATTCAGAAAAGAAACTTGGTTTTATTTTAGGTGATGATGTATTTTTATCATGGGGGCATGATCAATTTAAAAATGTTGACAAGATTGTAAAAACATTTTTAAGTAAAGTATACAAGAGATACAAGTGTGACTTAATCCCACACATCTAATGTTTGGTACTTTGTTTTAAATACTGTAACATGTTTTAGACGCACCTATAATAATTTAATTTTAGTGTGCCATCGTTTCAAAGATGTAGATTCTAAATGAATAATAAATGAATAAATATATACTAGTATACATTTTTATAGGTAAATTATTCATTTGGGACACCTGGGACAATATGAAGTTGCCAGAATATTAGCCACATTAGGTTTTCCAACGCTGTCCAATGGTAAATAACTAATCGGGTTTAACTAAATCTATGCTTTGTAAGATGGTAGATGGGGGTGTAATTATGACAGGTGGAATCTACCCATTGACTTAGATTGAGGTTAAACATGTTGGGTTGGAATCAACTCATTGACAGGGGACAGTTGACATAGATGGAGTCAAATATGACAGGTTGGAATGCAACCATTGACGGGGGACAGGAGACAATTGACATAGATGGAGGATAGATATGACAGGTTGGAATCCACTCATTGACTGGGGACAATTGACATAGATGGAGGTTAGATATGACAGGTTGGAATCCACTCATTGACAGGGAACAGTTGACGTAGATGGAGGTTAGATATGACAGGTTGGAATCCACTCACTGACAGGGGACAGTTGACATAGATGGAGGTTAGATATGACAGGTTGGAATCCACTCATTGACAGGGAACAGTTGACGTAGATGGAGGTTAGATATGACAGGTTGGAATCCACTCACTGACAGGGGACAGTTGACATAGATGGAGGTAAATATATATGACAGGTTGGAATCCAACCATTGACAGGGGACAGGGGACAATTGACATAGATGGAGGCTAGACATGACAGGTTGGAATCCACTCATTGACAGGGAACAGTTGACGTAGATGGAGGTTAGATATGACAGGTTGGAATCCACTCACTGACAGGGGACAGTTGACATAGATGGAGGTAAATATATATGACAGGTTGGATTCCAACCATTGACAGGGGACAGGGGACAATTGACATAGATGGAGGCTAGAAATGACAGGTTGGAATCCACTCATTGACAGGGGACAATTGACATAGATGGAGGTTAGATATGACAGGTTGGAATCCACTCATTGACAGGGGACAGTTGACGTAGATGGAGGTTAGATATGACAGGTTGGAATCCATTCACTGACAGGGGACAGTTGACATAGATGGAGGTTAGATATGACAGGTTGGAATCCACTCATTGACAGGGGACAGTTGACGTAGATGGAGGTTAGATATGACAGGTTGGAATCCATTCACTGACAGGGGACAGTTGACATAGATGGAGGTAAATATATATGACAGGTTGGAATCCAACCATTGACAGGGGACAGGGGACAATTGACATAGATGGAGGCTAGAAATGACAGGTTGGAATCCACTCATTGACAGGGGACAATTGACATAGATGGAGGTTAGATATGACAGGTTGGAATCCACTCATTGACAGGGGACAGTTGACGTAGATGGAGGTTAGATATGACAGGTTGGAATCCACTCATTGACAGGGGACAGTTGACGTAGATGGAGGTTAGATATGACAGGTTGGAATCCATTCACTGACAGGGGACAGTTGACATAGATGGAGGTAAATATATATGACAGGTTGGAATCCAACCATTGACAGGGGACAGGGGACAATTGACATAGATGGAGGCTAGATATGACAGGTTGGAATCCACTTATTGACAGGGGACAATTGACATAGATGAAGGTTAGATATGACAGGTTGCAATCCACTCATTGACAGGGGACAGTTGACAAAGACGAAGATTAAATATTCAAGGTTGGAATCAACTAATTGACAGGGGACAGTTGACATAGATGAAGGTAAATATGACAGGTTGGAATCCAACCATTGACAGGGGACGGGGGACAATTGACATAGATGAAGGCTAGAAATGACAGTTTGGAATCCACTCATTGACAGGGGACAATTGACATAGATGGAGGTTAGATATGACAGGTTGGATTCCACTCATTGACAGGGGACAATTGATATTTATGCAGGTTAGATATGACAGGTTGCAATCCACTCATTGACAGGGGACAGTTGACAAAGATGAAGGTAAATATGACAGGTTGGAATCCAACCATTGACAGGGGACAGTTGACATAGATGGAGGTTAAATATGACAGGTTGGATTCCACTCATTGACAGTGGACAGTTGCAGAAATAGATGGAGTTAAATACGACAGGTTGGAATGCAACCATTGACGGGGGACAGTTGAAATAGTTGGAGGTAAAATATGACAGGTCGGAATCCACGCATTGACAGACAGTTGATACAGATCGAGTTGTAAATATCTCCGGTTTGAATCAATTCCCTGACAGGGGACAATTGACTTAGATGGAGGTTAAACATGACAGGTTAGAATCCACTTATTGACAGGGGTCAGTTGACATCTCGTAGATGTAGATGGCATATTGGGAATCAACATATTGACATGGAACAGTTTATATAGAGCAATAGCCAGGCCCGTAGCCAGAGGGGGTTTCGGGGGGGGTGCAAATATGTCTAATGTGAACACTCGGACTAGAATCTTTTAAAAAGTGACCCCCCCACCTTGGCAAAACCTGGCTACGGGCCTAATAGCAAAACGCAATCTGGGCTTATTTGGGTCAAAACCAGAAAGGGGCATTTATGCTACGTCGAAGCTGAACATTTATACGTCTTACCTCAGTCTGTGCGGTCACTGAGCTCACTATCAACGCCAATAACGCTACATGTGCATTTATCCTTGATTGTAGTAATGTCATTTTCATAACACCAGTAAAATTCTCTCTACACAACGATCCAAAATATACACCCCTTTTCGGCAGTTAGGTAAGGCGATTTGCACGATGCGTTGACCTTAATTAGACTTTCTATAAGTTAATGTAATCCTAGAATTCCGTGAGTCAAAATAAAACGCAACAAGATGGCTGTTTTATATATAAGTAATCACTGAATTTCGGGGATTGGTTCCAACAATTGTGTGTGCATCAGGAAGTAAAAAGTCTGTAAACAACCGTCCTGTGTATTCAAACTGTGGTTAGACTATCCTTTGACTACTGTCGTCCCGCTTAAAAATCCTGAAAATAAATTATAACCTATTTTATATAAAAAGTAGATATCTCTTTTTATGCTTGTTCTCGAAGCGGAATAGACTCTTCTATCTTACTCATATTCATTTACTGAAGTATGTTTATATATATAAACATCATATATACACAGTGCAACTTGTCATTCAACTTACTTTTATAAATGACATAGTGCTGTTACATATAAAAAACTAGTTTAGTCGGATACAGCGGTGAGTACAAGGGCTTTTTATTCTTATTTGCGATGATTTTATTTTTATCGCATTATCTGTATCATTTCGCCCTTAAGTTACGCATGGTCCATATGATTAAGGCCACTGTAAAATAAATGTTTGCTCAAAAGTCATTTGAAAATCCCTGTACAGTAAAAACCCTGTTCCTTTCGATTTAATATTTTGGAATTTAACTCACATTTTGAAAATGCATTCTGCAACTTCTGAAACAAATACAACACCTAATTATCTGGCCCTTCCCCCAAATCAGGGCTAAACGGACAAACCTATTTTGGCCTCAATGAGTGTCAATAGGTTGAACACGAACATGACGTATACTGACGCAAAGGGAGGATGCATGCCTCGGTTGGAATTATATTTTATGAAATGACTCATTGTATACATGTTCTGTATACAAAAACATTTATTAATGTCCACATCTCTAAAAGTTAAGTGAATAAAGCAAACAAATTATTACCATCATAAAAATATCAATAAATTTAACAGCGAATATTCGGAAAACACTTTATTAAGATACAGTATATCCGATATAAAATCATTCAATATAAAACCAGCTTTAAATCTTCAGTAGAATGAAACCCCGACCGGTACCACCAATTAATAAGACTTAAGACTGTTTTAAACTTTTAGATAATTTTAGACTTAGTATAAAGCGTCTCTAAATCTAATAAGTTACATGTATTTAATCCAGTGCAGTAAATTATTTCATTTTTGCTTATGCCTAAGAATGTCACCTTATTTGTTGAATAAAACAATCCCAACACTGTATACTATGTAAGTAGTATTTAACTTATTTCAAATTCGACAATGATAATATTTGTTTAAAAAGCGAAGCATACAAACAAAACATGACATCTACTGAGTCACACTGACACCCGATGGTACCACCAGAACCGCGCCTTATAATGTCAACCAATGACGCAGATGCGAGTAGGTAGTTACCAGATTCACCACCAGGTGGCTCGTTCGGGTCAGATAGCATGGTGGGTATGGTAGAAAGTTCCCTTTAACTTAAATTACATCTATTTGCGTGGTTCAATTTTCATATAACCCTTATGTATCTAATAGTTATGCAAATTAAAATGTGTCCAGTAAAAGAAAATGTTATCTGTCCAATACAAGAATAGATAATTCACTTTTTGTGACTTTATAACATTGGGTCTATGAGGAATCAACCCGAACAAGAAGTCACATTTTCAAAAAAAATTAAATTTTCAAAGTTGATAATCAATTTTCGAAACCATATTTCTAGATGAACTTTTACATGCAGATGTCAAATATGACATCACTTTGACTGAATTTTGAATATTTAATGACGTAAATCAAGATTATTTCTACTCGCATCTAGTCTATTTCTAAGTTTGTCATACCCAGTTTTTGTTGTTTAAGCGCTGTGACCCAGTAAAACGTTCCACGTTTCCTAAACTGTTTTTGGTATAGCTATCGCATGGTATCAAATTGTACATTTTTAATGAAGAACGTTTTACATGGTCACGATGCATAAATAGTTATTTTAAAAGAGTAAAAATTGAAGTAGTTCTTAGTAAAGAGGGAGTCATTACAGAGTGTATTCTAAACTTAATTATGTCATAACAGTATCTCCTGGGCCTATTGATGTTTATAAACAGTTCAGGAAATAATTACCAAAAACATAATGTAAATCGCAAATGCTTGTAAAATATAATGTTAATATGTAAAACGAAAAACGACTTACCAGCATATAGCTCTTCCAATTTATATACTAAATACTTTCAAAATGCAAACATAATATGTAAATGGCATTATATAGTACCCATATTATATACCGGCATTCATATGCATTATTATTCTAATAGATTTAACAATGGAGCCCATGCATTACCGTAACTTCACTTAAATAACTTTCCTGATTCAACTATTTCTTTTGAACACCCAAATTTTATGAATGCAGCGATTAATATTAATCGATTTCCTTGACTCAAGACTTCGCCCTTGTGCATTAAATATCATAGTACGCGAGTCATTCAATGAATCATGAGAGTCTAGAATAGCACTCTCCAATAGCACTCTCAGGTGTGTTCGTGTCGAGGTGTCGCATTAAGATTCGATAAATAGTTCTTCAAAACACATGGAATTCTACGTTAAATTTAGGACGACCGAAATAGAAATATAGCACTAGTATGCACTTGATCATTAAATGTGGCGTCTGTTTACAACTCATAAAGAAGCGCTAAAATACTATGGAATTTCCCCACTCACAGCAATAACGACTTCTATTAAATGTGGTTTATTGTTGGAAATTTGGAAATTTATAGATACATTGATTAGATTACTTTACCAAAAATATTTTACATTAGATCAGTATTTTGCAAGCTAAAAAATAATTGTACACAGTTCAATGCATCCGTTGGTCAACTAATTATAAAAGTTTCCTATATGGATGAAGGCTATATAGAACAGGTTGCGAATTTATTTTCAGTTTACATTCATTAAAAATACATGTTTGGGAGGAGGGGGGTATATATAAACAGAATTTCAATACGCTTCAATGGCAGAACGAATCGTTTTATTACAATTTGGAGTCAACTATTAAAGTTAGATCCGCATGATGTCTGTCATAAAAAGTATATTTATGTTATATAATTTGTATTTATATGTAAAAACTCTTACTAAATGGATTCGGGTCCATTAGCGGACTATGCATCAAATTCCTGTTCGATTTATTTGAGTGTACACATTGCTCTCATAAAACCTGAAGTACAATAAATTAATCAAACAATTATCACTTTTCTTAATTCTGTTCTCGCACGTTACAAATGAAATTCTACTTCAAGTATTTTTTACTGTTAACTATTTCAAAATTTTGTTATGCCACTAGTTGATATTTTGTCACCTTCCTTAAATTTAATATCAGCGTCTATAAAAACCGAGAAGTAAAACATATAACACTTTACAAAGAAACTTTACAAAGTACGCAAAACATCATCCTTCAAGATAGGGCATCACTATCCTAGCTCATGGAATAAATTGAAATACCCTTAGACCAAGGATGGCAAAAATATAAATTATGTCATCAAAATAAATTGATTCAAATTACAAAAAAAATCGTAAACTAACTTACCCGATTCACGTTTTCGTAATATTCCGGGAGAGGTTCATAGATGCATCCAAGGCAGATTTATTTTTTATCAAAAGTTGGTAATGATGTTAATATCAATGACCATATGATATGCTGTGTGTACACCCCCTAAAATACATGAGAATAATGATGGTCATATAATCAGCCCAAAGTAACAGTTTCTTTAAATGGAATACTTTTTAGCCACAATTTAAACCTAATGTAACGGTTCAAAGAATGAAGTTTTAATGTATCTGTATTTTTCAATTGGCATACTGTATAGTATAGTCGTTCAAACTTCAGTCAGTCCAACTTTCCTAACATATTTTGGGCGATTAGTCCTCCCATGTAGATTGGCTATTTGACCATTTACCAGATTAGGAAACGCCATTGCCAAAGTGTATTTGCCCATTAGGAAAATGCAAGGGTGGCCGCTCATTAAATGGAAATTGAGTACAAAGAGTGCTTAGTTTTAAACGAAAATTGTGTATGATCTTACTATCCACATCACAAGTATAAGGACATTACGGTCATCTTTAAAATACATTAATGTTGTAGTGAGTATTTGTTCAAAATATGCATGCCAGGGTAGATATTAATGGCGCGGGGATTCATTAAACCTTTACCACTAATGAAATGTAAATAGTTATGAGATGCCATCGGGCTAATTTTATTAAACTATGTATCCAGTACTATCACTAAACAGCAAACAAACACATTTGTAATATACGCATATTCAGTAATTGCATAATTTCTTGTTGGATGATTTGATTAATATAAAGGCTATTAAATATTGACATGTTTTCACTTATAGCAGTATCACTGGTGTCATCATGACATAACTGAGAATAGATACATCGTCTGATGCATCGGGTTGTGTCATGGTTGACAAATGTATACACACAGCGGTTTAATTGTCATTTGGCTTTGTTACAATATTGTACAATATTAAAAACAGAAAAAATGAATTTATATATTATAAGCCATGGTCTATATAAGGATACACCATGGGATATGCTTGTGGACGTTTTATTAATTTGTTTAATGAGGTACATGTACCCGCAGAAATCTTTTTTACTAATACTTATCACCAATTTGACCAGTCTATTGATATTGCGCGTTACGAGGATACTTGCATTTTGGAGAGTTTCCATGTCATATTTAAAGTCTGATTTAGTTCAAACATCATTAGCATTACCACCCTTGGTATACGCAGTAGAGGTGTGCACCGATGGCACATTACTTAATCGATCAATATATAAAGTATAAAGATTCCTAAATTATGTCCGTCTTCTCGCTGCAAGCAGGATGAAATTCTTTGTCACAAAGTTTGGCATTTTTTATAAAATCAAACGCGCGTCATTGAAACTCACAAGATGTAAATAGCATGTCATTTACATCATACCTTGATGGGGAAAAATAGATCTTATATGTTAGAAGTACTAAATAAAAGTTATCGTGAAAATGAGACAGTCGTTCTCGAGAAAAAAGAGCATAAATGCGAATTTAGAGAGTTTTGGTCCGTTTAAAAATCTGTAAAAAATTGGGGTACTTAAAAGCATCGGGAGGCATCATATATTTCAAATTAGACACGAGAAAGTCAATATTGAGCAAGTTATGGCTGTTTTAAATTTAAATAAAACCGTTAACCCGTACCGGTCCAGCTTTTGACCCGTACCGGTCAATTTTCGTTAGCTGCGTATACCAAGGGTGATTACGTCAACTATAAAGTAGTAGTTTAATTTCGATGAAAACTAAAAATATCGGAATATACACTTCCCGCCCGCCATCATGCTAATATGACGTTCGTTACCTTCGCTTGATACTGACTAGTGTTTTTACACATTTCCTTTGATCATTTCCTCGCCTTTCGTCTAAAAGTGTCGAATATTTATCAGAATATGTTTCTCTAAACTACACAATTTAGGACGGGTGCAGATAAATAAATTTTAAGTATTTATTGTAATTTAAAAAAATCAAAAATGTGCGTTGTCAACTCCACTGTCTGTTGTCCTTGTTATTGAAATTAATGAGATATACTGTAATATTAAACGATATAATGATTTCATTTCAAAACGCATTAAAGTTTTTATAAGTAACACGTGATCTTTAATGAACATGTTCAAGTATCCTTTGTTTGTACAGATTTTAAAATACAAGGTAAATGTGACCTTGTTTTGACCTCTTTTTGAGTGCTTTTTCATTTCATAAAATTATTGTTGTGGTGGTGGTTAATTTTTGGCCATTGGGTGTTAGCTTTCAGCCTCTTTGATTATTTGGCGTCTGCACCTTACGTTTTGTTAAGTTACACTGATGTAGATCTCTAGAATATGACTTTTTAAAATCCCGTTTATGATATATATCTGGAAAGTGCTCAATAGTTTCAATAGTTCAATCAAATTGAAGTAATCAAATGCATCTGACCCCCTTCAATTTCTTCAGCAAATGCGTGACAAAAACGAAAATTGCGGGACAGTTGGACGGCCATCCATGCAGCAAAATTAAGACTCATTTATAAAAACCATGCAAAGTCCATTCAAATCCACGCAAAGAACGTCAATCGACATGCAAAGTCCATGCAGGCTGGGAGAAATATTCCATGCAATGTCCATGCAGATGCATGGGTTTATATGAAAACCATGCAATCCACATGCAATCTTGCATGGTCTATGCAACATCCATTCAAATCCATGCAACATCCATTCAAATCCATACAAAGCCTTTTACAATCCACATGCAAAGTTCTTGCAGGCTGCGAGAAATATTGTAACTTATGAGGTCCATGCAATGTCTATGCAATATTGAAGAGAATTCGAAGCAAACGTGTGACATATGCACACAATTCTCGTGAAAATTCCAAACTGCGTTCGTTTTTTCGGCATTCGTTTTTTGATATTTCAGGGTTCCATTTTTCATGTTCTTCTCCGAAAATATTTTTGCTCGGAAATAATCAGATGAAATGTGTATTCGCGTGAGATATTCTATCACAAAAGAAAACGGGCGTGACTTCAATTTCTTCAGCAAATATTCGACAAATACGCAAATTGCGGAACAGTTGGATGGCCTAAATAATGTATTGCCAGAAGGCTCACAGTTATCGGGCCAGGCATGGTAATGAAGGACTCTCTAGGTCCAGCAGTATTTATCCTCATAATCTTTACAAAATACCTTTAATTTCTGTAATTGATCATACACAACACATTTATGCTTCCCTTGGCATTGACATTGAATTGAAATAAAATCTGGCCTATGTATGTAAATTCAAAAAGAAAAGAAAATTTAGCCATCTAAAGTGGAATAACACAGCAATACTTGCATTCTACCTCTCACAAAATAGACATGCAGAATGTGCAAGTATGTCAGTAACTTCTAAATCTATGTACATGTATTTGATTGGTCATTTTCCCATGTTCTAAAATCATAAAAATTATCTAAATCTCTCACGGTTGAACATATAAGCAGGCCTGTCAACTGTCCCGCAATTTGCGTATTTGTCACGCATTTGCTGAAGAATTTGAAGTCACGCCAGTTTTTTTTGCGTGACAGAAAATGTCACGCAAATACGCATTTTACCTGGTAATTGTCAAGCAAAAATATTTCTGTAGAAAAATTTCTAAAAAAGATCGTCTACACAGCAAAAATACGAACGCCGGAAAAAAATGTACGCATTTCGTTCGGACTTTTCACGCGAATTACGTATATGTCACGCATTCCGTTCGAAATTCTTCCCCAGCAAACAGTGACGTCCATGTAACGTCACTCATATGTGGTATATAAGTTCACTGGAGACGTTGTATATTTCCGTTATATAAACGTCAAAGCAACGTAAAATTGTGACATTCAGCAAAACGTCGGTGGATGGTTAAAAAATGACGTTGTAGTAATGTGTTAGTAAAGTTCGAAATTTGTGCTGGTGTGAAAAACGTAACAATGACGTTGAATTTTTACCAGTTTGGTTCATTTGCAACG